GACAGTTTTTACTGCGAACTGATCACGCAGCCTTGAAGTGGCTACTGCAATTCAAGAACCCGGAAGGTCAAGTAGCTCGATGGATTGAGCAGCTCCAGGAGTATGACTTCAAGACGGAACACCGCAGCGGAAAGACGCATGGAAATGCCGACGCACTCTCACGAAGGCCGTGTTCGGAAGACTGCAAACATTGTGTTAAGCAGGAATCTAATGAAGTTACATTAAAGCTAACGAGGACAAGTCCTTTGGGTCTCTGGGAGAATGATGCTATGAGAGAGGCTCAAGAAAGTGACGACGACCTGCGGCACATCATCACATGGAAGAAGCGGGGCGATGTAAAACCAAACTGGAGTGAGGTTGCACCCACTGGCGCTGTCACTAAGGCGTACTGGGCGTAATGGGACAGTCTGATACTTCAAAACGGAATACTACGGCAGAACTCTACCGGAAATGGGAGAAGACTAACGGCAGAGAGTTCCATCTTCAGATAATTGTCCCGAGAACGAGAGTACCAGATGTTCTCCGTGAAATACATGATGGCGTATCAGGAGGTCATCTAGGTGTCAAGAGAACGTTAACAATAGTGCGAGAACGATTCTACTGGTTGCATTGTCGAGATGATGTACAGGATTGGTGCCGCAAATGTACTACTTGCGCTGCTGTAAAAGGACCACAGACCAGAAGCCGTGGGAACTTGCGGTTGTATAACGTCGGTGCACCGTGGGAACGAATTGCAGTTGACGTAGCTGGGCCATTTCCTGTAACGGAATCGGGAAACAAGTATTTTATGGTCGTCTTGGACTACTTCACCAAATGGCCCGAAGTGTTCGCCATACCAAACCAAGAAGCTACAACAGTCGCTTCTAAGTTAGTCGAAGAAGTGATATGTCGTTTTGGTGTGCCTCTAGAAATCCATTCCGATCAGGGCAGGAACTTCGAATCACAAGTATTCCAGGAAGTGTGTAGAATTTTGGGCATGCATAAGACGAGGACCACCGCGTGCCACCCACAGTCTGATGGAATAGTTGAGAGATTTAACCAGACCCTTGAGAGGCATCTGGCGAAATTGGTAGACGACAAACAAAAGGATTGGGACAAGTATATACCACTCTTCCTTCTGTCGTACCGAACCGCCGAGCATGAGAGCATAAAAGCTACCCCGGCGTATGTCAATTACGGTAGAGAACTACGATTACCAGTTGACCTATTGACAGGAGGGTCACCGGAGGGACCACAGACCGTACAAGACTATGTCTGCAATTTAAGGGAAAAAATGCGCTATATACACGCCTTGGTTAGGGAAAATGGGTTACAGTCAAGTGAGAACATGAAAACCAGATACGACCGGAAATCTAACACGGACGGCTTCGAAGAAGGGTCACTGGTGTGGCTGCATAACCCAACTCGTCGGAAAGGGAAATCCCCAAAGTTGCAGATCAAGTGGGACGGTCCATACAAAGTGGTTAACCGACTGAATGATGTGACTTATAGGATTCAAAAGCAACCAAGAGGGACATTCAAAGTGGTACACATAGACCGTCTGGCGCGTTACCATGGCAGTAACAATGATGCTCGGGACGAGCATCTCTAAGTGGGGAGTAGTGTTATGAACACACAAAGGAACTAACGCCATCTAGCGTCAACTATTAAAATCACTAAAGAACAAAGACGACATAAAACCCCCTATTCAATACTAGATGGCGTTAGAGGAACTGCTGTGGAACTATAGTCTCGAAAACCGGGTACATTCGCGAACTTTCCGGAATCACGAACATGTTCGGGCGTGTCGGGTACGTTCCAGGAAGGATCTTTTTGGATTAGTCTGGAACCGGTCTCGGCCCATATAAAAAGCCGCGGGGAGGCGAGCGAAGACAGTTCAGTTTGAGCTACCTTCGAGGCGACTTCGGAGCGAAAACTAGTGATCAAGAGCGATACCAGTGAAACCTACGACTTGGCTACAAAACAGGACACCGTTAGTGCTTAGTGTTTGGACCTAGTGCTTTGTGTTGGACCTAGTGCTATTGAATAAAGTCTTCAAAAGAGTCAGCAGGTCTTTCTCTCCAAATCCTTCGAACCCCTAACACGTAACAATATGTATGTACCTATATATATATATATATATATATATATATATATATATATATATATATATATATATATATATATAATTTGCGTACTTAAATTAGATCTCTTAATAATCCATCACCGACGTCAAATAAGAGGTCGTCAACCCGAGGCTCTTGAAAATTCCAATAACGCGTAATCAAGAAATATCGACACACAAAAGTGTAGACGTGATCGACTAATGGGAATAAATAAAGGCAAATAAATTGCTACACAAGACCGTAACATAAGTCAATGTCTTGGCACAACACACTGGGGATTTACAGGTAACGTGACTGGGTGTGTCTTGCAGAAATGCCGGGTACTATTATTTCCCTTAAGTGAAGTATCGACAAAGGAGCATAATTTTACGAAGGCATTGAAGAAGAAATTGCCAAACATGATAACTTCATCTTAACTGACGCAAACAATACTAAATTATTTCTAGAACTATCAAATGCGACACGTACTAGACATTAATTTAGTACCTTGCCATTAGGTATATCATAAGTCTAGTATGCATCGGAGCAGTAGAGCGAGATTTGCAAGTTGAAATTCAAAACGTTTGCTTTTGAGTGTTTCTTACGATACTTATCATTTTAGCACTACTTGAGTATAAGCAATAATCGTAAAATTCCTAACGGTCCCGTACTATACGGACGCTTAAAAACTCAAAATTTCCGTTGTTTTTTGGCTTTTAAGGTATTCTTTTTACGACGTTTTAACTTCAAAATACGGGAGGAAAGAAAAGTTTGCATCACAAATAACTTATAAAGTAATTTCCTTTGATAATTCTTTACTAAATTTTACTCTTGTTAAAATCAAAGGTAGGAAGAAACTTTAAATTAAAGAACAATACTGTAATACACGTTAAAATTACCTACAACTTGAGCTAGTCAAATTACATAAATTGCAATCACCGGGGTGGCCGATATAATCTAGTCGAATGTGCAACGAAGCACCAAATCCACTCGAGGCCCAACCAGCCGAACAGGAAGCAATTAGTTGATTAGAGCGATGGATTTATCCGCTCACATATTTTCCCCGTGTTCTCCACGTCTTAACAAAGATATGCCTTGAATCACGTCTGATCTGGAAGCAAACGGATAAGGGGTTTCCATTCCTAAATTAAACACAGATACTTAAAAATCACTTATATAATTAATATAAATAACAAGCTTAACAAGCATAACTCTAAAGTTTGATAAAACGGTAACCTTTCCCCAATAATATCTGCTGTCACTTGTTCGGTAAATAAAATCCATTTTTAAATAGGCGTTGCTGTAATAACTACATTATTATGGTTAAAGAAACTGACGAAAATATAACGGACAATATTAAATTAAGTGCAAGTTAAAGACTCTTGACTAGATAGTCCATTCGTGACTAGAAGTCGCGGGTTCGAGGACCAGTGACTGGAAGTTTGGGCCAGCTAATTTACACCTCCAGGTTTCAAATGTCGTACTCATAAAGGTCGCTGATTTTACTCACATAAATTTTACGGTGTCGGTCAATTTACGGTGACAAGTTTACAAAATGTCACGTTGCTGATATTTAGGAAATGTTTTTCAAAAAGGACGATTTTAATATAAATAAAAGCGGTTTGCGCCTCGACGCACAGATTAAGTCCGCGCCGACACATTCCAGACTAGCATAGAGTCAGCCTGAATCACAGACGCTGTTTCGGATTTTGTACGTTTATTTAAGCAGACTGCGTTCTTAACATTTTAAAGGTCGTTTACACCGAACAATTCTACCTTTTCTTTATGCATAGACTGATAACCTTATGTGTAATGAGATACATATTATTTCAAGAAAGAAACTTCGAGGGCTTCGCAATTACATTAATTAAATGTCTATTGTTTAATTTAGTGTTAATGCGGAGTAAGGTATACCAACAAGATCTTTTTGATACATTTATTTATAAAATTATATCGGGGACAAACGTTGGACTGTTTATCGACACAAAAGGATTTGACAACGTTGACACTTATATTTTGACAACGACAATACTTAACTTTTAAATGTAAATTCAACAAATTGAAACCAAAATTTAAAAAAAAGATGCAGAAAATATTCTATGCAAAGAACGTTAACTCGGATTCAATTAGAATGTTTTAAGGGACACATATGAATATGCACACCCTTCAGATTGGAGAACTTCAAAGCTGGACGACGTTAATCGAGCGATGGGAACTTGTCGCAAGTGCAGCCCACACGAGGCCGGAGCCTGTCATATGACCCGCGCGTTTCAAAGGCTAGTCGTGTTGTTGCCATTTTATTTGTTCGTCGGGTAAATGCCTTCGCTTGTATCCGAGTATTGAACTGGGCTGGTCTGCATACGCAGCCGGGGCGCGAGGCGCGGGGCGGGGGTCGCAGTACAGCACGCCACTGGCACCCACCTCTCTCAAACATTGACCCAAGTCTTGAAATTATTTGACTTTTCAGAAGAAAATTTATACCTTTACAAGTCTTAAAATACTAGCACTCAAAGAAGTTCAATCGATGTTAGTTATGACTTTTGTTTTACGGAAAGGTTAACATCATTAAATTGCAATTTTTTTTAATAAGTTACTATTTTATTACATGGTGGTACTTAAATTGACTATTTTACTTTTGACATGATTATTCAGCTAAAAGGATTCGTTGGTCTCGACATTCGGCAATGTGCTCGCCGAAGTTGAGTGAATTTAATGCACAAAAAGCGCCAAAATTGACCTGTACAGTTAGTTACATAAAAAGAGAACGGTACTTTATGAAAGAAGCTTTTGAATACTACCAAAATTGATTCTAGAATATGACTACTAAACTTTTATTGAATTTCATAATTAAAATTAATTCCATATACAATTCGTAAGGTGTGTTTTATACAATAAAATAACTATTTCATAACATACCCGTAAATCTGAAGCACCAGACAACGTGGACGTACCAAGTCGTCCGTTGCGATACATTTTGGAAATATATTTCGAGTGTCAGAAAACACTTTTTACACGCGAAATAATGTTCAATTAAACTTCACTTTGAGCACTGCACATTCCCGTCAGTATATTATAACACAGTTATATTTGATAGTTACTGAATGTTCATAACATATCTATAAATAATAGTAACATATCTATAGTAATTTTGAGTAATGTCTATAAATCGGAACCATTTGATCTAGGTAAAAATCGGGAGGCGGTTTATTAAGTCAAAATGTTTGCTATGTTTAAAAAGATGCCGTCAAGTTTCGCGTTATTTACACACCTGTAATAACGGACTACGTGACTCAAGAACTCTAACTATCGATAAACCTCACAAAACATAACAGAGTTATCGCTTTATATCGCCAATAGCATATCTCAGCGCATTTATTCTTTAATTTGATATAATATCGCTATCACCTTGAAATTTTTGTTTTGGTGATTTCCTTTACGCCTCGTCTCTATCAACAATTGTTTACCCCACACATTATGCATTATGAATGTTTCATATTTATTTGAAAAACCAATAATATTTTGTTATTAGGCTAAGTAAATGTCTATCTTTTTTACTTATTTCGTTGTGGCCCTTATTTATAGCACATTCAAGTTAATATTATACTAGTTTATAAAGTAATATAATTTATTTAAAAAACTCCTACAAATCTTCTCTAACAATAATTTGTATTTCCTTGCGGTATAGCGATAAAATCATATCACGTAAGTCTGTTTTGATAACATATTGATAATACGTTTAGCCCCTAAATAGTATGGCCTCTACTACAACTGAGTTACAAAATTTATTAAAGAAAAAAACCTAAAACCGTACGGACTTACAATTTCCAACTACAGTAATCACCTAGACACAACCTTAAACTCGGGATTCGTTTAAGCTATCGCTCAAACTTAACATACTCAGTGCTTAATCGTCCGTTTGGCGAATTCGACATTTAAGACGACGCACTTCGCGCTAATATCCCGCTCGATTCCGCACGTGTCGTAATAAAGGCGGAACGGTGCAACGTTTCGTTTTATGCAGTGATCCTTTGTTGTGTCGGAAATGCGTCAAGTGGATTTGCGCGGAAACGGGTGATTCGCGGTTCGCGTGCGCGTTCGCCCGGCGGAGCGCGCGAGAGCACTGCGCGGGCGGCGGCGGGTGTTCAGCGCCGCACACGCCGCCGCGGACCGTTGCCCGCACGCTCGCACCTGACTCCGCTCGCCTCGTGACGACTTCACACGTCCCCAACATCCCGCGGGAATGCACCACGTGGCTCTGTGCAAAGCGGATAGCACTCGCCTGAATCAGTGCAAAGGACCGACTTTAAACATGAATGAGTATACTTAGATTTAGGTTTAAAAGTGGAGTACTAATTAAACCCTATTATTTAAGCTGAAGTAGTTATGGATTATTTTTTGTGATTTCAAAGTACCAAGAAACATTTTGTTCTTTTAGTATCACTTAATAGCGTAGGTATTTTCCACTAAAGTTCATTCGCACATTCTTATATTAGAATACTAAATAAAAGGAAGGCATATAAAAACATGAATTAACGTAAACATAGACTTTAGGCAATAATGCCGAGCATTTTGCACTAGTCCTTCCACATGTCCCCTAAATTAAATAAAAAAGAGTTTTTAGTGTTCCGTACCTCAGGGTAAAACGGGACCCTATTACTAAGACTAGTAGTGCGCGAGTTCGACTCGCACTTGCTTTTTGATTTAGTCATATGTAAGCTCTTAAATTGGTGAGCACAAGTAATTGTCTTTTTACACTAAATATAGAAGGGAAAAATCACTGATTCAGAATGAAAACGGTAGTAGTATTGGTATTACTACTGACAATCAATAAGAAAGTGTAATGCTTCTGTATTAAATAAATAAAATTTTTGAAGTTTCATTTTTACTACAACTACAACTAAAAAACAGTCGGAGAGATCACTTCAATTTAGGATCCACTCGTGTCTAAATGTAGTGCACAGATTTAGCCATCTGCAAAGCAGCTTAAGTCAGCAAAGGGGTTAAGAGAATGATTCATCTTTGAATATTTACTTGCAAAATGTACATTGCTCTACAGAACATGTACAGTACGTTTGTGAATTGCAGACAATTATACACAATAAAGTTCCGCTCGAATAAAGCTCAATGTATTTTTATAGGCCAATATAAAATACATTTCAGACGTTATATCATTTTATGCGCCCTACATTTTTAAATTCGAAAGCGTTATCTAAAAGTTTTGTTTTATACTTCTTTCTCACTACATACAAAGCAAAAAGTATTTGGAGAACTTTCATCATCATCATCAACATCATTTTATTACTGTTAAAAGTTATTATTGTTTCTAGAATTTTCTCTTGTTATTTAAAAAAAAAGAAAATATTTTTCTTGTTGTTTACATCTTGATTTGATTTTCTAAAATTTTGAAGCCATCCTCAACAGCACAGCAGCATCTTAATTAACGGTGTCTCCAATTTGTTAAGTCTCCGATAATTATTCGAATGACATTTTTGTCAATAAGAGAATACGGAAAACGAGCAAGCGGTTCACCTGATGTCAAGTGATAACAGTCGCACATGGACAACCAAACAACCGCAAAGATAAAGGATGCATTGCCAACCTTTGAAAGTTTGAGATCTGACTACAAAGTTGAGAATAGTAAAGTATCACCTATATATGTCCCATGTTCATATATGTATACATGTCTATATATGTATACATGCCCCACTGCTGGGCGAATACCTCCTCTGAACAGAGGATATTAGGGCATAATAAAGCGTTTCATCCCACGTTACCTACTTCACTCAATCATGCTACCGGAGAAATTAAGTCAAGAAGTCAAATCTTAATGGCCAGGTAATATGGTTGAAAAAATGTATGCGGTAAACCATAAAATCTAAGAGTATAAAAGTAAAGTAATCAGCCTATACATGTCACACTGCTGGGCAAAGACCTTCTCTGTACAGAGGGTTATCAGGGCACAGTCCACCACGTGGCCCCACTGCGGATTGGCGGACATGTGAAGTCCTTCGAAATATTTCTTTTTTTTTATTACTAAAATATGCAGGTTTCCTCACAATTTTCCTTCACCGCTGAGCACGTGATAATTCGGCACCTAAAATTAACAACTTCATTGGTGCCACCACCGGGGATCGAACTCAGGTTGCTCGAGTATTTTGATTTAAAGGCGAGCGCCCGGACACTGGGCTATCACGGCTCCGAAAATCTAATAGTACCCTTACTTCCTTACTTATATATATTATATATTTTATATTTAATATCATAAAGGCGAAAGACCTATATAAATGACACCTTTATCGCAACAGCTCTGATCGATAAAAACTCTGTGGGAATTATCAGAATCCATTCTACCGGAAGTGTCGAGTAAAGGAAAACGCTTATTAAATAAAATACAGAACATTTCTTTTAGTTAGGCTATCGTTTACTCATTAACGATTAAGTAACTATATGGAATGAATGAAGCATTTATTTGGAAAAGTCGCAAGCTGAGTATTTATAAAATTACTTAAGACTTATATAGACAAGATACCATTTCCCAATTAAACTTGTCCCTGTGGTCAAAGTTTAAAAGTAAATAACAAATAAATTTAGTGCAGTTACATCAATCTCATATGCTGATAGCGCTCTTGCATATATAGTGTATCTATTAAACATATGCATACTCAATCACGACCTTAGTAAATGGTACGTATGATAAACTTTAGTAGGGTTATCGTTTGGTCAATACTTTTAATTTAGGCTTTCCTCGTATGTACTTCATATAAATGATCTACTTGTAAAAAAAGTATCTATATGTTAGGACCTTTAGTAACTTGTTAAAAGAAAATCAATCATAATAGTCAAATAAAATTTAATCTCCTGGATAAAAACCGCATCTATACCGTACACTTAAACCCATATTCACTCAGCGCCATCTAGACTGAATTATGAAAACTTTTACACATGAAGAATGTTTAGGTTGCGCAAGCGATTACCAGATGCTTCATAATAGTATGGTACGATTAACAGAAACTTCAATATTAAAAGCGTTAATAGATGGCGCTTTAAGTTTAAGTGTTATAAAAAATAAGTATAGATTTGCCGCAAAAAGAAAATGTTTAAAGTATTTTTTTAGCTAAACTTACCCTATTTTCACAAGCCGTGTGGCAGACATATTTGCAAACTGAAACAAAAACAAATTTACTATTTGAAAACTGAAATTTACTGCTTGAAACTGAAATGAAAAAAATTGGAGCAATTATATACCGACTTAATACAACATTTTTTTTATAAGAGAAGGTGGCTAGCGAGCTGGCGGTTCACCTGATGGTAAGTCACCGCCGCCCATTGACATTTGCAAACGCCTGTAGAGATACAGATGCGTTGTCACCTTTTAATAAAGTGGGGGTTTCCGCACTCGCCAGATGAAACACAAAAGTATACACTTCCACTTCACACCGATCTTCGGCGGAGTCTTGGTTCTTATTATCCAGATGGACCTGCCCATTCCACAGTAAAATCATCGTCCACTACCATTATGTGCAAATAACGAAAATACATCGTTATGTCTACAATAAAGATCCATAAATTAATAAAGTAAGCACATGATGTTGAACCTTTTCCCTTAAATTAATAAATATTGTGATTTCTCAAAATTTCATATGATTTTAAACTTCAAAGCCAACATTGTTGACCTTTTACTTGGATGTTTGTTTGATGTACAAGACTAGAAGCCTCGTTATATACATGGTACAGAACGACCTTTAAATGCCAGTTCGTCGAAATAAACTTTAGAAGATTAGACATTTCCAAGCTGGGACCTACAGCAAGCTTCATTTAGCTGTAGAAAGGGTAAGCGAAGAAATTATAAAGAAGAGTATTTTAATCGCGTTAAATGTGATGATGTGAAAATTAGATGCGACTATATCGATGGAAGAATTCACACTAGGTCGTAAGTGAATATAAATGTCACTTGCAGATGCTTTCATATGATCCATAAAGAAAGATTCCAAGATACCAGTGAGTGGATCGAAATGTATGGCCATAAAGAAGCAGAAAGATAATTATGTCAAAGAGGAGGAAAAGAATCACGGAGGGACCGACATCCGTAATAGAGCCCTACCAAAATCATACAACCAAATTAGATCTAAATTTTCTGCTGTACAGAAATAACAATTAAAAGAGCATTGACCGCTATTTTTTATGCCTCCAGGCATAGAGTAAAGCTTGAAGCGTGGGCAATGACTAATAAAAATTAATAAAACATTCGAAGACGATTAAGTCCGCCAACCCGCAGAGGGGCCACGTGGGGCCATTCACTGCGTACCTAGTACATAAAGAGAATATTGTGGCGACATATTAACTACTTCTAATGATTAAGAATATATTAATGAAACGAGATTCATACGTATGTAAAGCACGGTGTATTACACGTACATATACTTACTAGTATACATATACTTTATACTTTTCTCCCCTCTCTACTTCAAGGACAATGATATAAATATCTCCCATTGATTTAGAAAAGGAGGAAAGATTCAAAATGTAATCAACATGCATTCTACACATAGCTTGTCACTCACCATTCGAGGTCAAAAATACGCAACATAAAAAAGTTTATAGCAATATTGAAATAGCAACACCAATCACCTCTGCAGCAAGATCCCTCGTTGTGCACGGGTTGGTGGCACCAGTGGCACGGGCGCGGACGACGAAACGACTTACGACGGAACGCGTGCGCCTGTGGAGTGCCCTCTTTCTGTAACAAACAATGAAATAAGTAGTCAAACTTGCAAAACAAAAACTATCCCTACTATATACATATAAACTTTTCATACTAAAGCAGAGCGTTGTAATGAAAACGGGTTCATAATTCCTCGCTACAACCTCAATAAATCACGTCAGCTTAGTTACAAATACTATTGTTTAAATGGTACTTCGTAAGGTACTTCGCTCATTCGTGAATCAATCAAAAGGCGAGTTAACTTCCCAATAACAATGGCAACCTTCCGACATTTTCTTGGAACGGAATGTGCTTCCTTTGGTACCGAATAATCGGTTCAACTACTGGCCTCCCATTGCCCACCTTCCTTTATACCTGCCTGTCCCTTCGAAAGCATTCTTACAATGGCCAAGAGCTCTCAATTGGATATTTAAAACGTTTAAAATACACTAGCCGGTGTTACATTTAAATATTGCAGAAATTAGTAATATTCAAACACATTTTTACTCTAAATACATAGAGTGGGTAGAGACCGCGAATGTTTTTATATAATGTTATTAAATGACACAAAAAGTTGACATCGTTCCTATTTGTTTGCACACATGTATATTTTCATATGAAAAATTATGAAGTAAAAATATGTTATTATCAAATTTTCATGATGAATATAGAATTTTTTTATACCAATTCCCAACCCGGGAAGGATATTAAATGGCATGATTGGTTGCAAATATTCAGTAATTAGAATCTGCGCTCTTGGCTTTCCAGACGTCACTCTTTTGTACAATAAACTACTAATTATAGCATAATGACGTCAAGTTGAGCTCGGGCGCCGGCGCCGACCCTACAGCGGCGCCACACTTGCACTACACGTGATACCGTCTTTTGAGACGGCAATATAACCGTTATACCGAAGCCATTTATTTAAAACCTATGGTTTGTATTAATACACTATATTGACAATAATATATCCACATTGAATTAAACGATACTTATCGTATAATTACAATATTAAGTGAAGAAAACGAGGTTTTAGGTAAAAAAAAAGTATACAACTTTCCCTCCCAAGATGAAGACCATCGAGTTTTAATTATTAAGAAGGCAATGGGATCAAATTTGAAAAAAAAAGTTGAATGTAGAATGCGTCTGGAAGTGTAAATGAACACGTGGTTTGACATGCATTGAGCTTACGAAGAGACGTAGGGAATCGTATTATTATACCGTACTATATTATATTCCAAGCACATCACGAAAAGCTGTGTGGAGATAACCGAGATTCGCACGTGCGCGTGATCGCCTAGCACCTGCTTAGAGCGCCTGGCATGAGACAGCTGCTCCCAAAATTACACAAAAAGATACAGGATTCCTTTACTGAGCGCAGCATAAGGAATACCGTCGAATGCACTGACGCCCCATTAACTGGGTACGAATCGAGTTTCATCGAACAGCTGTCTCAACCACTACAGTTCAACAAAGAGCCAACTGCTCGTACAAATAGATAACGTGTTCATTCTATAAAATCGAAATAGTTTTAAAGTGCACATTGTTCGTAAATAACGCGATGTAATCAATTACAATGGGGTGGCTCTGACCGACCAATGACCATCGTCTATGGTAGTATAAATTCTAACTTACAATGGGACAAGGGAGCAAGCCACGATATTTCTAGAAACGCATTCCACACAGCGCGACGCGTTAAGCCCCCCGAAAAACAAAGTAAGGCCGAGCAATCTATCGCGCAGACATGCCGTCGCGGGGTTGTTATAATCGCTGGCATACAGAAGCGTTCAAAAATAATCTTAGGAACGCCCGAACACAGTTACATCGCACATACATGTAACAAATGTTAATATTTAAAATATGTGGATTTGTGGTGAATGGAATAAATTAAAAGCTTGCAGTCAACATATTGTGATCGAAGACTAATCCCACTTTTTAACAGGCCTTTATTCTTTATTGTTTTATTCTTAAAAAATGTTTTTTTGATCTTCTTCCAGTTCCAGGTGCTCAAATGATTTGATATCTAGCACGAATAGAAAAAGATGACCATAAATTTCATATAACTTGCCTCTTGCTGTTCCTTTATGACTACATATAAAAATAAGAACAAATATTTTTTTTAACAAAAGAAAAAAGATTTCTTAAAATTATTGACTCTGTATAAGTACTATTAATATTATAAGGCATGCATCTTTAGATCACGGAGCACTAAATCTGCTATGGAGTTGAAAACAAAGAGCACGGCGTAGGATCGACGATAAATCAACATAAGAGGTGGCTTTGGTTCGCTCGGTTAGTAGATGACGAACAAATACCTCAAATAGCAAAAATGTTTCAAATATTAACTTGAATTTCAATGGAATTCAAGCCATAATTAATACAAACATGTTAAAATTTTTATTGTTACAGCTTATTTCAAAATTAAGGATTTTTCCAACGAGTGAGAAGTTTATCCGATTTTTTGAGACAGATCGGATTCAGCCGGATTTATTTTGCCTGATGGAAAATATTATCCATAATTGAATTAAATTAAGTTCTAACATTTACAATACAGAACAGCAGATAAACAATATTAAATCATGAGTACTTAAGTCGGGGTCCCTCAAATCAGGAACAGTAATAAACCATTCCATCTTTGTGACTTCAACAAAATAAGGAATAATTCTAACTAAAAGTATTAACTAAATACAAGAGATAAGCGGCTAGTTATAAATGCGTAACCCCATTTCCTGGCTATCGCTACAATGTTGACGAATAAAAATACCCCGAATATAAAACTAAAGACTTCTAACTTATTCTAAATTGCTTTTATTTAATTATAAAAAGAAAAGAAAAACAAAACATTACAGCCGAGCGGCACTTTCTAATGCACCATAGACTATCGTATGTAACAAATAACAGAGCAGCCGCCATAACACGAGTCAAATAGAAATTGTTTCACGCGTAGAAGCGCAGACACGCTACCAATAGTTGTTACTAAATTTGTTTCCTGGTAATGTGTTTAACACGTTCCCTCGACGTGGACGCCATGCATCATTGAATCTAAGTAATGCCTTGGCACAGGCGTTGCCACAGGCGATTCCACGATCGAATCTTAAGTTAGTTTACTTATTGAAATTTTATTATGTCTGTAAAGAGCAAATACTCGATTAGAATGGTTAAAACAAATGTTCCTAATACTATAAGATGTTTGTATACAAGGCTAGCCGTGATAGCTCAGTGTCCGGGCGCTCGCCTTTAATTCAATATATACTCGAGCAACCTGAGTTCGATCCCCGGTGCCGGCACCAATGAAGTTTTTAACTTTAAGTGTTGAATTGTCACGTGCTCCGCGGTGAAGGAAAACATCGTGAGGAAACCTGCATATTTTCGAAATAATAACAAAAAAAAAATGTGTTTCGAAGATATGTGAAGTCCGCCAATCCGCAGTGGGGCCGCGTGGTGGACTATGCCCTGATACCCTCTGTATAGAGGAGGCCTTTGCCCAGCAGTGGGACATATATAGGCTGTTACTTTACTTTTATACAAGGCTATAATAATGCAAAAGTAACATAACGAGTTTCTGTAGAAAAAAGCCAGTCCGATCTGGCTCTAGTAGTTAAATATTTTGTAAATACCTCTCTAAAAGCCAAAATAAAACTATAATTATACACTATAGATGTAGATCTATAGAATTTATTTTTTTATAATTACAGAATTTACAGACAGTCCAATAGAAGAATAAAGAATAATAATAAAACCAACAAATACATTTTATTCCGACATTAACTGTTTATTTGATTATTTAAATATAAACAGACAAAGACAAAGCCACTCAGCATTTTTTTGTTTTTTGCAAGATAAAAAAATTAAAATGCCCCAATTTCGACGAGTTGACGAGTTTCTTTATAATGTGTTAAAAATGTCTGCCGGACGTTAAATTTATTGCCCGCTAAACGCCAATAACTTGAAGTATATTGGGCTCGTAACTTGACTGCGTCTGCCTTATCTATAAAGTTATTGATACCATTGTTTTGCTATTTCTGGATTCAGATAGCATTGTAATATTTTATTCTGTGAACTCGTGTATGACAGCGGTCATATTATACGTAAAGTTTTAAAAATTACTCTTATATCAGTAAACTCAACAATGACAGATGGGCTTTTCGTGCCTTAAACATTTTCTGGTGTTTTCGCTCGTTTCACCGCTGCCTAAGCCTTGCTAACACAGTAAAAGTAAATCTTGAAGAAAACTTTAAGAGCAAACTGATGTGGTAGTCAGTTTAGGCTGCAGCGCGTGCAAATCAATTAGACATGTACATAAATACATACGGCCGAATTACATTACCCCCCTTTGGCAATCGAATAAATAAAATCTTTATGCACAGACTTTAACTAGTCCGAAGAAACTAAGACTAAAAGCGGAAACATCTAACAAATATGAACATAATTAAATACGAAATTTCACCGCAATATAAAAAGTTTTTGTCACCGAGTGTTTTGTTGGGAAATTACAGGGAAAATTACTTTCCAAAAAATTCCATACGCCCAAGTGAAAAACTTAAAACGTGGAAAATTTTAAGGAATTGTTTTTTATTTCAAATATTTTCATTGAAATGTTTCCGTTATAAATATCTCTAGATACATAATAATGCTCAGGTAAATATCTATGTAACTAAAAATGTATTAAACACACAAAAAATTTAATCGCAAAATCGTACAACGCTTACTCACGCTACATGTGTGCGTTCACCACAGTTTCCTAGCATACATAGCCCCAGTTATTGGGTTAGGAACGTTAATTGGCGCTTTCAATTAAAGCAAGGGCCCTGGTTAATGTTCACGTTAAGCTCGAGTGCACCGATATAGACCTTCTGGCCCATCAGCGAGCGATGCCGAATGTTCTCGCACAGCCACTTAGGATTAACACTCGAACAGAAGCCATATTTTAATTGGCAATCGAGACGAGTGGATTTCATGTGATTTTCTCACAATCGAATCGTATTTCATTATTGTAACTAGCTGATACCCGCGACTTTATCTCCGTTGCTAATTAT